CAGTGCTCCAGGGTCTCCAGCACCCGTTGGCCAGTGCTCAAGCTTTCCCCGCACCCTTTTTCTACTGCTCCGTGGTCTCCCGCACCCTTGTTCTTTGCAATTTTCCTTCACAGTTCTTGTTTACTATCGAATTCGCGTCTATATTTAGCCTTAGATGAAGCTGATCACCCATTTTGGGCTGCACTTTCAAGCAACCCGACTCCAAGATATGACCATACAGCTTGCTCCACCTCAGACAGCGGATCGGACCCCTCCGGCGGAGAAATGGCAGGGCCGCGGGGTTTCCCCAGCGGTGGGTCTGCCACTCGTGCGCCGGAGCCCCCCGATTTTGTGCGCCGGAGCCCCCCGATTTTGTGCTCCGCAAGTCTGCCGCGGCATACTGTAATTAGCCCTAATTAAGCTTCAAACCCCAATTTTGTCTCTAAACCCACCCAAATTAGCCGAATAGGACCCCCCCCCCCCCCCGGGTAGGAGTTCAGCGCGACCCTCACCCCCGTACTCTACCCCCTCCCTCTCACCCCTAGCGTTTGTGGATAGAAGATAGAAGAATGAAGGAACAAGACATTTATTTCAAATTAACTACAAAGAATCTCCTGCGAATTGCAACATTTTATGGTATTATTTTGCGATTGAGAGAATGTGCAAAGCTTGATGATTGATCTATAGGGGTAAGAGCATTTCTGAGCCTCACGATCACTTCCACATCCCGAAATACTTTAGCAGGGCACGTCGATCTAATGGCTTCATCACATGCATCCAAGGCTATGACATCAGATCTCTCCCCTAAATGCAAAAACTTTCATTTCACAGAAACATGAAAGTCTACCGCTCGTACCACGTTTGCTAGCTTCTTTCAAGTACTCGAGACCATCTTGTACAATCACACGGTGATTTTCTTCTTCAATAACGCCAAGCCATTTCTTTGCTGTTTCAACAACAACTGAATCTAACTCAGTAGCAGTTACGTTAACCTAAAGTATGAAGAATGATGACACGATTATGACGCGATCTTACAAGGAAAAATAGGTTTCCAAACACACAATGAGAGGCAGAAACAGCAAGGATGAGAGCTCTGGCCGACTCGCCTTTGGTTTGAGCTTATGTAAAAGCATATCAAAACTTCCGCCACCCGATCCAATTTCTAGCACTGTCTTGCCCACATCCGATGAATCAGTAGAAAAGGCTGACACTAGGAAGGGATTAGCATACCAGCAACCTAAAATAGAGGAACATTGGAGGTGAGAAGCAACAAATCCTTTTATTAGTGCCAACGGTCTTGATTGAATGCGCAAGAATTAGTTAACAGAGTAAGTCCTGCCCGAAAGAGTGTTACAAAGAGTTAACCTTGAGATTTTCACTTGTTAGGTGGGCGAACTCAGGTTTGGTGATGGCAATCAAAAGCCCTGCAAAAAATGTGATGATGACGTGAACATCGTCAAGTATTCCTGCGCTCACCTGCAAGAACAGACGACTACAGGGCCTCTGCAAATTCAACCGACTACAAGAACTTCAAAATTGTATATAGTGACGCTTTATAACGACAAAAAATCATCCAAAAACTTCGGAAATCTTAATGAACGTCTTCTTGACTAGATAACCCTCACGGGAAAAAGAATAGGCACAAGAAAACGCCTTGTTCAAGACCGGTCAAAAATGACACGCACAACCAACTTCGCAGCCTACCTTTTATAGTCGTCCTCACCCCACTAGTCGGTCGGTGGTCGAATTCAAATTCGAATTGTAGCAGGCTACCCGCGGCAGAGCGCGGCAGACCGCCTCTCAGCCAACCGCTTCACATGAGCTTTCCTCTTGATTTCTTCGTGTTTCTTTGCTGTCTCTCGTACTGCGGCAATGTTCTTGATCATATTTTTGGTTTTCGTACAGCTAACTATTGTTTTGTGCAATTGTACTTGTTTGTTTTACATTTTTTCAGGTAAACCGGGAAGAATAGAGATTTTTGGATGAGAAATATCTTTTCCGGTAAGTGAAATAGTCACAAATGTGATTTGATAAGTTTGTGAAGATTGTGTCAAGTTTTTCGTTAGAATTCTAGACTATTTTTTTGCGACAGGGGTGAAATCCTCTCAAAAAGTGTTTGTTTCAAAGAGTTAGCGGTACGAAATCTAAAAATCTGATTAAGAACATTGCCGTAATACGAGAGATAGCAAAGAAACACTAAGAATATAAGAAAAAATCTCATGCAAGCGGTTGGCTGAGGGGCGGTTTGCCGCGCTCTGCCGCGGCCGGCCTGCCCCAGTTCAAATTCAAATTCGACCACCGACCGACTAGTGGGGTGAGGACGACTATAACAGATTATTTTGATTACTCAAATGTTCTAAACGCTCACATATTGAGATCGAATGTCGAGATGGTCTATTTGCCAAATCTTTTTATCGGAATCGTCGAAGAGTTCGCCTACAAATTCAAGGATGGTTTGACAAAAGGAAGCGTTTTGATGCGGGTGATCAAGGCTGGTACATCTTACAGAAAGCAGGAAAACAGATGAAGCATCAGAGTACCATGAAGCTAGGTAAGGCTTTGGCCATACTTTATCCGTGTTATCAGTGTTACTCGTGTTTCTAGCGTTACCGCCTTTATTGCTGTTGATTCTTGAAATGATCGCAAATACAGTTTCATTCTTGAACGTAGTCTCACTGAGTGGTGAGTCAGGACCTGAGGCGATCATACTTCGATTAAAAAAATGCTGTAATCTTGCTTCAAAAAGTTTTTGTGACATAAATAGAATCATGTTGTTTGATTTGCAGCGCAATGAGCTCTAACGTACTGGCCAACGCCTTGATCGAGCTTCAAGAACCTTGTCCTCGGACGTGTCATCATTGCATGGCCATATGTGAGAAGGGAGCTCCTTCTTCCCCTCTTTGAAGAAAAACTTTTGAAACTGAAACTAAAAAAACTGAAAGAAAAAAAGAAAAAAGAACTTTTCTGAAGCAAGATTCTAGCATTTTTTTAATCGAAGTATGATCGCCTCAGGTCCTGACTCACCACTCAGTGAGACTGCGTTCAAGAATGAAACTGTATTGGCGATCATTTCAAGAATCAATACCAATAAAGGCGGTAACACTAGAAACACAAGTAACACTGGAAACATCGGCAACACGAGTAACACGAGTAACACTGGAAACACCGGCAACACCGGTAACACTGGTAACATCGGCAACACGGGCAAAGTATGGCCAAAGCCTTACTAGTGTTCCCGCATTTATGCTGTTGAATAGTGAAATGATTACAATACAGCTCATTTCAAAATGCAATATTACTGACTGGTGAGCAACACGAGTAATACCAGTAACATTAGTAACACGGGTAACAGTAACACGAGTAACACGAGTAACATGAGTAACACTTGTAACACGGTAACGGGTAAAGTACGGTCAAAGACCAAGTGCCAATCAATCAACGCAAACTTCCCAACTTCCCACTACAGAGAACTGCTAGAAGCGGTTAAGAAAGAGGAATGAGGTCACTGTGGGGATAACTGTGAGAAGCCTTGGATACCACAGCCTGGAACAATTCCCTGATTTATTATGGACAAAAAATTCAACTCCAAACTATTGCCAGCGCTCCGCTCAAAAAATAGCGAGTTGAGGGGAGAAAGTGAATAAAAAGATCAGGTGAATTACCGCACACAACGGACTCCGCCTTAAATTTTAAGCCCAGGTACTCAGATTTTGCACACTGAACTTACACACAAATTGCGCACTGAAGAAAAGCAACTAAATGATGAAAGCCAACCTTACCTCTTGGAGCTATCAGTCGCACAGCAATATCAGAATCTTCTGCGAACCCCTCCACGAACAGCTGACGCTCGACCACCTCTACAGTGTCTCTGAATCGCTAGTTTTTTTTTGTATGTCCATGCTTGTTTGTTTTGTCATAAAGCGAATGTATAAAACCAATTTTTCTTTACTCAAAGTAGCTGCTATATTTTTGCTCCTGCAACAAACGGCCAGATAGCATCAAAACAAATCGCCTTCAGAAATTGGTAAAACTGACTAAATCATCCCCTGATGACTTTGGTGACCAAAAAACTAGGAAGAGAATAATACTGATTCTGCCAAAAAAGCACATTAACGGTAAAGTTATCGAAAGTATGCACACAAGTTGAGGGATAGTACCATGATGCTACAGTCACTGTCAATAAAATCGCATGTAGTAGTTCTGATACACCGCATGAACAATACAAAGAACGGCTCACTCTTTGCTGAGTTTTCTATCGAAGATATTGTAGCATCGAGCTGTTGTTTTTGTCATCTTAAAAAGTCTACACGTTTACCATGAATCTTGGAAGATACGTAGCAGATTAGGTAATGAATGACGCCGACTCTGAGCGCACATACACACTTGAACAGGCGATCCGCCGTGGAGCTCGCATGAACAAGTGCGAAACGAAAAAAGTAGACTCACTCCGATTATATACTTTTTGTTTCGAAAATCCAGAATCAATCACAAAAACCACTCTATCAATAGTCAACGATGTCTCAGCAAGTCGAAAAGAGCCGAGCACTAGAAGTGACTAAGTGCATCCGCAAGAAAATCTGAAACTTAAACCTGAAAACGAGGAACGTACAACAACATAAAAGCCAACGCGACAAAGAGCAACGCGTAAAAGAAAAAAACGGTAAAGAAACGCGGAGAAACAACAAAATCAAACAATCAACAACTAAAATACGAAGAAAGAGCGTAAACAGAGGACTCATCACCGTGGAGTTAGACGTTTGCTTGGCTACGCGCCAAATCGATACGCAGCCTGCTCCGGAGTCCTCCCAATTGTGCTCCGGGGCCCTCCCATTTGTGCTCCGGATCCCTGCCATTTTCTGCTCCGGAAGTGTCCCATTTTCTGCTCCGGGGCCCTCCCATTTGTGCTCCGGAGACCTCCCATTTGTACTCCGGACCCCTCCGATTTTCTGCTCCGCGGCTCTTCCAAATCTGGCGGACTCGCGGCGGGCAAATTTCTCCGGCGCGGCTCTGCCAAGTCTGGCGTACCTACGGAGCAGAAATGGCGTACCTTTGCAGCAGGGCCGGAGAAGGGTCCCACTCGCCTGCCATTGATGTCACCGCGACCTATAAGAAGGGACCGCCCAATCGCCCCGCTCTCATTGGTCAACTGGGTTCGGCGCGACTCTGGCCTATTTCGACTGTCCGGCGGAGGGGTCCGATCGATTGTCTGAGACTGTCCGCACAGGTTTCGCACCCTCTCGGGAATGTGGCCCCTATCAAAGGGACTTTAGACATGCAGCACAAACTGAAAGCCACACCTATACCTACACTTCTCAACGGCATAACACCGAGAGATTCAGCGCTGGGCTCCTCCCCGTTCACTCGCCGTTACTAAGGGAATCCTTGTTAGTTTCTTTTCCTCCGCTAAATGATATGCTTAAGTTCAGCGGGTAGTCACGCCTGAGCTCAGGTTGCATTGCAAATGACAATATAGAGCGTTGTCATACAGGCACTGCTGAAATGTTAGTAAGCGGTAAACAAATCAACAGTGACAACGAATATATGTCATTCTGTGTAGTTAGCCATAGTCAAATCGGATAACGAAGCGCTGTCGTCAAGCCTCACTGGAAAGTTAAGAGGCCTTAAACGATCCAGCAGTAATAGGCATTAAACGATCCAGCATTCATTTCTGTCGTAAGGCACAGCTAACGTACATGTTGCAACATGCTTCTTTCCTAGAATGGGGATTGCAATTAAATGCAAGCGCCCTTCGACAAACAATGTAACAGGCCACATTGTAGTATTTATAAATAACCCTGAACCAGACGTGCCGAAGGGAAAACCCAACGGCGCTATGCGTTCAAAATTTTACCACTCTAAGTGTCTGCAATTCGTGGTAAATAACGCAGCTTGCTGCGTTTTTCATCGATACGCAAATCGACCGATCCATCGCTGAAGCTAGTCGATTGTGACTCAAAGTCACAGTTCTGCAAAATTCAAATATAAAAAGTTAGCGTCTGCTTTGGCGTTCGCGTAAACGGATCATTAAGATTGCCTGACAACCAAGTGTCGCACTACGCGTTACCGCTGTGCCTAACCACCAAAACAAACAGTAAGGCGGCATTCCAGCAATGCTCATCAAGTCTAAAGCTCAGCAAAATGCGAACTCGCACAGTAATCACGGCCGCCACCCAGTAACGACTCATACTGTACATAGAACCTTACGGGGGGGCGATACTACCAACCTTCCCGACAAAGTCGCGAAAATTTCAGATGTTCGGAGCTCTGGAATATGAAGCTTTCTCAAGCTATGTTCCCCTCCCTAGCGGGGATGTTGATGAATGCAGCCTAGATGGCTAACGTCCGAACCCTTGATACTCGAATGATGGAAGCCAAGGTTGTATCAGTCTGTCCTGACGGCGAAGATTGCAAGTTCATTTCAATACTAAGCTGTTTTCTTGCTCATCTGAGTCCAAGAACTATAGAGCGCTTCAAATCGAAGCTATTCTTTCACCGTTATTTACGTTGATAGACCTTCGATAGAGTGGTACATGAGGAGCTTCTGCAAAGACTGGAATGACGAGGGTTGAACAGAACCCTTTAGAATTGACTTAAATCATGTCTAACTGATAGAGGTACGACAATCAAGGTTGAACAACAGATTTTGGACAGGCATGTATGCGTGAGCGGTGTTCCACGAGGGGTTGTACTTTCTCCATTGTTTTACTTGGTCTATGCTGCCGATCTCCCGGATATCTTGAGGCCTTTCACATATCAGTGTCCAGATGTATGCGGATAACATCAAGACCTGCGGGATTTATAGCAGAGGTAATTGTATCGAAGTTCGTACAGCTTGAAGGCAGTGACTTAAAAAAATTGCGACTGCGAGTTTTCCACACCTACATGGCTGGATGCGCTAAGTCCAGTGCTGTGCTTAAAAATTCAAAGTGATTTTTACGCCGGCAGGGATGGGCGAGAGATTTCCGCCATAATCAGCGACTGGCTGCAGGAGCCTGTAACTCCGCCCATTTTGGAGGTAATTGGCTGATCGGCTCAGCCGGTCAATTGCGATGTTGACGGGAACCCCCTCGCCCATCTCCCCAGCTATGTCCAGGTTAGGAAAACGCCATAAATAGCACTTTTTTGACATTCCAAGCATAGAGCTGGACTCAGCAAATCCAAAAGGCCATATAGGTGTGGAAAGCTCGCAGTCGCAATTTTTTTAAGTTACTGCCTTCAAGCACTACGAACTTCGATACAATTACCTCTGCTATAAATCCCGCAGGTCTTGATGTTATCCGCATACATCTGGACACTGATATGTGAAACGGCCTCAAGATATCCGGGAGATCGGCAGCATAGACCAAGTAAAACAATGGAGAAAGTACAACCCCTCGTGGAACACCGCTCACGCATACATGCCTGTCCAAAATCTGTTGTTCATCCTTGATTGTCGTACCTCTATCAGTTAGACATGATTTAAGTCAATTCTAAAGGGTTCTGTTCAACCCTCGTCATTCCAGTCTTTGCAGAAGCTCCTTATGTACCACTCTATCGAAGGTCTATCAACGTAAATAACGGTGAAAGAATAGCTTCGATTTGAAGCGCTCTATAGTTCTTGGACTCAGATGAGCAAGAAAACAGCTTAGTATTGAAATGAACTTGCAATCTTCGCCGTCAGGACAGACTGATACAACCTTGGCTTCCATCATTCGAGTATCAAGGGTTCGGACGTTAGCCATCTAGGCTGCATTCATCAACATCCCGCTAGGGAGGGGAACACAGCTTGAGAAAGCTTCATATTCCAGAGCTCCGAACATCTGAAATTTTCGTTGTCTATCCATCCGCATGTGGATGGATAGACAACGAGCATCCAGCATCCATATGTGCATGCGTTTGAGCCCTTTTCCGCGTTTTTCGCGCTTTCCGATGTGGATTTTCGGATTCAAGATAGCGATAGGCCCGATGCATAAAATCTCAAAATCGACTTTTTGCTCGGGCTCCTTTGAAAGCAGAGGTACTTCCAGGACGATACAATTTTCATCAAAGTAGCAATTAACTCTATTATCTTGATCACAGTGCTTGCAACATTACTTTCACCAACCAAGCACAAAGAAGTAATCATCAAGGTTTGATTAAACAAGTTATCAACGAATCATTTACACATGAAAGTCACCCTTCTTTAACACGTTCACGTACAGTTTGTGTTCACATAATCAATCTAAGCTCAGTGGTATTTCATCTAGGCCCCGCCCCCTTTTGGCAAACTCGGCCCACTCTGTTACCCTCTACAAAAAATTTCCGTTTTCATAGAACATACGAAAGCTCGCAGATGATTGTGGAATCTCAAAATAGGAAAAAATAAAATAGAAAATAGGATGAAATAAAAATTCATTTTAATACTATGCTGTTTTCTTGCTCATCTCGTCCAAGAATTATAGAGCCCTCAGTGGCATGCCTCGCCCACTTTTCAAAATTGCCATTGAATTTGCACTTCGTGAATTTTGTGCAAATTCCGCCATTTTAGAATAGTAGGCGAGGCTTGCTAAAAGTTGGCGGAGCTGCCCCGCTCACTTTCATTTTTGTATCTCACGCATAGATGCATGCATACATACATGCATGTCGCGTCTCGCGATGCAAGGCGCTCCTTGAAGTACGGAGGCCGGGGGCATCGGTTACCGCGCTATCCGGCGACGATTACGGTAGCCGAGACGCGTGTTGCCGCGATCGTCTCCGGACCTCTCCTTAATTGGTTCGTTGCCAGCCAGGCGGCTATATAAAGCGGCGGCGCCTCATTTGGTTGCCTTGTTCGCCTTCGTCTTATTGATTGATTTTGAATTCCTGTTCGAATTACGTTTCAGCCGCCATGCTCCTGTCCTTTTTTTGTTAGAGCAGTTGAGCCGGATGTCTTTTGGATTAGAAAACGAATTCCCTTTTTGTTAGCGCAAGTCGACGCGCCTGATACTATCCGGAAATCATCTACAGGAGCAGGAGGGGACGTGCCGTCGTCTAAACCTTGGCGTTGCGCGGTGGATTTGTTGCGCGAAACCTCGAGAGCCACATGTATTTCTTTGAGATTATCTGCAGACGCGCATCGGTAGCATGGGACGGGCCCTCATCCCGTGTTTTAGTAGTAGTAGTATTTGTTTTGTTTTAGTGTAGTATTCTTTTTATCTATTTTAACTGTAGTTTAGTGTCATAAGGATAAACCACTTAATTGGCTTCATGTTCTGTTCAGTCGCGCGTTAGTGCGCAGTAGGCTTGGTACGTCGCTTAGTATCGGGCGGCCTCAGGCCTCGGGTAACATCTAGGTG